ACCAATTATATAGGTCCCTGCCCCAGTGGTTGGACGCATTTCAAAAGCTACTGTTACTTTGTGAGTAGCGCACTCAAAAGTTGGCAAGCTGCTCGAACGTACTGCAAAAGCAAAGGCGGAGATCTTGTGAAGATCAACAGCGATGAAGAAAACGAGTTTGTTCTGAACTTGGTTTATAAACACGCCCCGTCGACGAAACAGGTTTGGATCGGACTGAAGTGGGACGCACACCTGAGCAAGTTTGAATGGGCTGACAATGCGCTTCCAAAATACACCAACTGGAACCCTGGTGAACCGAACGGACAAGCATCAGAACCATGCGGCAACATGTGGACTGGAAATGCCGTTTGGTCTAGTGGTTATTGGAATGACCTCGGCTGCTTGAATCGTGCGTACCCCTGTGGTCTTGTCTGCAAGAGGCTGCCCTAGGCTGCATCCACCGTCCAAGCCGAAAGTAGAACGATTAAGTAACCTGGCTTTCTATAAAACTAAAGAGCATTAAAGCTAAACATCAAAACAGTTAACTTTAACAATAAAATGTGTACATGTAAAGTCGGCTTGAAAATAAAACAGTAAAATCCATCTTATCTGTTTTCCCATTTTTGGTTGTTTCGGTTGGTTGGACTAGTTACCCAATTGAACATGTGTAGGGGAACCTTCTTGTAACGTATTTGGAAATTTCACTTTTTAAGATTCCACATATACATACAGTCATAATAATACAACATGGCTTCGGCTTTGAACAACGCAAAGTGAATGATGGATCAGTCCATAAAACTGAGTCACATAAAAGTTTTTGTTAACGTCTTGTCAAGGATTAGAGACGATACATCGCTTTACGAAAATATGCGAATTGAATAACTTTACGTGAGATAACGAGACCACTATAAATAGTTTTAACAGTCGAAGGAAGTCGTTTTAATTTGGAATCAAATTGTACAAACTAAAAAACAGACACACTTTTGCCAACTTACTGTAGGGATACCAGGAATGACAATGGAACGATAAAATTCAATCACAAACATTGCCTGTGAAACTGAACAATGCCCAAGAATAAAAGATGTTGAACTTTTTAACGATGACAATTATAGTCCTATGTACAACTTATCAGTCATTTTAGAGACGTTCCGACGGTACATCGCTCAACATCAGTGTTAAAATGATGGTTTACTTTGCAAGTCATCAACATGGTAGAACTTCGTCCTCCCTTGAGGATCATAGTGGAAGAATGCAATTTCTTCTATCCCTGATTCCGGTTGTTTCTCGTGTTCAAGGAAACGGGGGATGCAGACCTTGACGGGAATTTAAGAGGTGGGGACGTTTTTACGGAAACGAAGCAGTCGAAGTACCTCCCGTCTGGTCCCTGCGCTACTTTACATAACGTATGTGGCTTCTCTAGTTCCACCATTAAATTATTTTCATCTACTAAAAGATCACTGCATGATGGTTTCTTAATCCCTTGACTGATTATCTCATCTACTTCAGGTTTCACAAGTAGATAAGAAAAGATGAAATAAGTCAATCAACTATCTCATGTGTCGCATTTGACACCAATTAAATCTTTTCCTCCTCTTCTGGTGCTAAAATGAATACAATGCCATTAATTCAATTATTAATCATTATTTTATTCACTTCAGTTATCTCAGTTTGCTCACCAACCTAGCAAATATTAAAGCGAGTTTTTGATATGTACCCTCCCCTTAGATCCGCCCCTGACCGGGGAAGCCTTTAAAAGAGTGTGAAGGATGGCTATACTGAGGTCTTCATTTGTAATACCAAGCTAAGTTTCTTTTTCCAAAAAAAGAGAACTAATTCCATGATGGCAGTTAAAAAAATTACTTTTGTTCTATATACGGAACGAAATGAGAAATGATTCGGGGTCTGACTTAGACAGGATTAGGGTTTGAAGGCCTCTTGGTGGGTGGAACACCTCCACCCCCAAACTTCCGTTGAGGGTCCCCCCTGGGACGATGTGTATGTGACGATATTTACTTACTTTGCTTCAATAAAGGTTGGCCTTTATTTCCATACAGGAGCATTGTCAAACTTGTTAGCAAACATCACCCATTATGGCTCTTGCCAATTGATCTGTCCAAATATACTAGGTTGTGCTAGATAGTCAGGCCGCATCAACTCATCAACATTTTGTTCAGAGGTCTTCCTGCCCCTTTAAACTCCTTAATCCCCCTCAGCTTTATCCGTGTTCCTTTTACCTTTTCTCGTACCGGAAGGCCTTGCTAACGCTTAATCTACCTGTGAACATTATATGGCGATTATAGTTGTACGCTATTCTGTACTTCCGTGTTTCCTTGAATGATTTTTGCCCAAAAGCTGACGCTTATACCAACAACAAGAGAGGATGAAGAGCTTTATCCTCTCTTGCAGGAGCTCCTGTCTCTTGCCAACAGCTAATCGAGGAGGGCGCTAAATGATTTCTTGGCTAACCGTAAATTTTCATGTAAAAATATTTTAATAAACAAATCAATAAATGAGTACCACACGAAGTGATACACAAAAGACTATTCTACTTTATTATTGCTGGTGCAGTTTAAGTTAAAGAAATAATAAATGTGGGAAGACACCTTCTTTGTGAGTACTACAAAAAGTATACAAGTGCTTCTGGTGCTATTTAAGAAAGTGGTGGTAAAGGGACCGCTTATTCGAGAAATAGGGTATTTTCAGTCGAACCTTTATTTACACTGATGTGTTGACATTTCCTATGTTACTAGATGTCTGACTGCTAAAAAGGAGAAGGTGGCTATCCATAATGTTATCCATCAGTATATTTGCCTTAATTTAAAAAAAATTGCTATGCTATCTATACTCTAATCAAAGAAAATTTGCCAGGGAAAGAACTTCCTATTGTAAATAAGGCTTTAGACGGAAGTTGTTGGACCTTTCAACCTCCTATCTCCCTAAATAAACAAGATTCTTTAGTGAAACGTCATTATGCAAAACGAATTTATGTCAAGTTATTCAGGGCAGTCTTATAGAGTGCACATGTGATATAAAAATGTACAAAAAAGACATCGCACCGAAAGGTTTTGGCAAAAGAGCTATGGGCTACCTGCAATTTTTAGTTTGAGAAACGTTAGCGAAATTATTCCGCTATCGTTGAAAGCAAGACTGTGAGATCTTTAAAACTAAAATTATAGCAATCCGCCTATAATTTTCAACGATACTGCGTCATGTTTACTTCCCTAGCTTGATCTTGTTTTATCTTGTTTAGAGGGATGTTGACAATTAAATCAGCTTCACCAAGATTTTCTATGAGTCATCCATTCTAGGACTGTAAGAAAGAAGGACCCGCTAACACCACACATCGAACATATCCAGCCCTGAGACTTTTAACTAAGATGAAACTGGTTACTACTGCACCGCTTTTCGTTGCGCTCTTATGTGTCACTGCAGGTATATAATATGCGTTAAGTCAGTCGTAAAATCAATTCGCCGGGTCTTCAAATCTTGATGCCACTTCTGTAAAATTTTACGAGAGCCCGGATTGTATAGGCTGGTCTCTTTTGCTTTCTTGGTTCGTATATTTTGAAACACGCAAAGCTCACTCCAAGCAAGAGAGAAATGACCAAGTTTTCAAAGAGTAAAATTGAGTACTTCAGGTCAAGATCAGAGTAAAAAATTCATTAAATCTGGCTTTCAAACTAAATTGCTACGACTGAAGCATGCAAGTCGGGCCGCTTTACGTCTCCCTAGTAAAGGCAGAATCTTATGCCTCAGATCTAGAAGCCCGGCTACGTGCAAAAAATCTGAGTGATTCAAATGACAACAGTACGTATAGGTCCGGACAATATACACTGGTTTATCTGTCTACGCTTTTGACTTTACGAAATTCAAAATACGATACTCGCAACACGGATGACACACATCAAAATCACGCGATGGGATGGTTGTAGTCAGCCTTCCTTGAAATAACAGGTTTAAGTTGGAAGACATTTGTAACTCTTGCAGACACATTAGAAGAAAACTTTTTCTCACGAGGTTTTTTAATTGTGGGTTTAATTTCTTTTTCAGCTCGGTCAGATAATAAACACAAGAGAGATGCCACTGATATCGCTTTTCGAATAATTAGTAAGGAACTGACTTTTTTTTTTTCATTTTCCGGTATATTTATTTTTGTATTTTCAGATCACAATTTTTGTACTTTGTAGTACAGTAACAGGCAATAACCAATTCCATTTTTTCATTACCAATTATATAGGTCCCTGCCCCAGTGGTTGGACGCATTTCAAAAGCTACTGTTACTTTGTGAGTAGCGCACTCAAAAGTTGGCAAGCTGCTCGAACGTACTGCAAAAGCAAAGGCGGAGATCTTGTGAAGATCAACAGCGATGAAGAAAACGAGTTTGTTCTGAACTTGGTTTATAAACACGCCCCGTCGACGAAACAGGTTTGGATCGGACTGAAGTGGGACGCACACCTGAGCAAGTTTGAATGGGCTGACAATGCGCTTCCAAAATACACCAACTGGAACCCTGGTGAACCGAACGGACAAGCATCAGAACCATGCAGCAACATGTGGACTGGAAATGCCGGTTGGTCTAGTGGTTATTGGAATGACCTCGGCTGCTTGAATCGTGCGTACCCCTGTGGTCTTGTCTGCAAGAGGCTGCCCTAGGCTGCATCCACCGTCCAAGCCGAAAGTAGAACGATTAAGTAACCTGGCTTTCTATAAAACTAAAGAGCATTAAAGCTAAACATCAAAACAGTTAACTTTAACAATAAAATGTGTACATGTAAAGTCGGCTTGAAAATAAAACAGTAAAATCCATCTTATCTGTTTTCCCATTTTTGGTTGTTTCGGTTGGTTGGACTAGTTACCCAATTGAACATGTGTAGGGGAACCTTCTTGTAACGTATTTGGAAATTTCACTTTTTAAGATTCCACATATACATACAGTCATAATAATACAACATGGCTTCGGCTTTGAACAACGCAAAGTGAATGATGGATCAGTCCATAAAACTGAGTCACATAAAAGTTTTTGTTAACGTCTTGTCAAGGATTAGAGACGATACATCGCTTTACGAAAATATGCGAATTGAATAACTTTACGTGAGATAACGAGACCACTATAAATAGTTTTAACAGTCGAAGGAAGTCGTTTTAATTTGGAATCAAATTGTACAAACTAAAAAACAGACACACTTTTGCCAACTTACTGTAGGGATACCAGGAATGACAATGGAACGATAAAATTCAATCACAAACATTGCCTGTGAAACTGAACAATGCCCAAGAATAAAAGATGTTGAACTTTTTAACGATGACAATTATAGTCCTATGTACAACTTATCAGTCATTTTAGAGACGTTCCGACGGTACATCGCTCAACATCAGTGTTAAAATGATGGTTTACTTTGCAAGTCATCAACATGGTAGAACTTCGTCCTCCCTTGAGGATCATAGTGGAAGAATGCAATTTCTTCTATCCCTGATTCCGGTTGTTTCTCGTGTTCAAGGAAACGGGGGATGCAGACCTTGACGGGAATTTAAGAGGTGGGGACGTTTTTACGGAAACGAAGCAGTCGAAGTACCTCCCGTCTGGTCCCTGCGCTACTTTACATAACGTATGTGGCTTCTCTAGTTCCACCATTAAATTATTTTCATCTACTAAAAGATCACTGCATGATGGTTTCTTAATCCCTTGACTGATTATCTCATCTACTTCAGGTTTCACAAGTAGATAAGAAAAGATGAAATAAGTCAATCAACTATCTCATGTGTCGCATTTGACACCAATTAAATCTTTTCCTCCTCTTCTGGTGCTAAAATGAATACAATGCCATTAATTCAATTATTAATCATTATTTTATTCACTTCAGTTATCTCAGTTTGCTCACCAACCTAGCAAATATTAAAGCGAGTTTTTGATTTTCTTTAGTTTTAAGCATAATCACATTTATTTTAATCGAATTTCTCTTGGCATAATCAAGTGAATTTTTAAGAACGAATGTCGCTAAGGAATGAGCAAAATTGGAAATGGTCAAACAAAACCTTCCCTCATACTTTGTGTGTAGTTAGTACTTCAGATGAAACTACTCACTGTGGCATTTGTTTGACTTCTAACAAAAACCTGCAATGGGCATCAGGGAGGGGAGGGGGAACTTTTTTTGAAAAGGCTAACAAATGGACATTTTTAAACATATTTTTTTCTTACTAGCTTTCCGATTTAGATCAAAATTGAAACAGGATGTAAATATTTCACCCTTTGTGAACCATTTCGTGCTTAAAAATCAGCGGGTACTTGATACATTTTTGCATGCCAATCAAATAAAACATGTATACCTGAGACAAAATAGTAAATTTTCGAAATTTTTGTTCGCCGCTATTTTTCTTTTAAATGATGTCATTGGGGCGATGTTAAGCAAGAACGTTGGATGGTTCCTATAGATTGCATTCCTTTACGTTTTACAGTCAGTTATCTGGCAGATTAACGATTTTTGGTTTACAAAAACAGGCATCGTGTGGTTGGCGGTTAATTTATGCAAAATACTATACCCGCGATATAACTTGGCAGGAAAGTCGACTTCGAAGTTTTACATCAAGTGTTTCCTAAGACGTCCGCTAAGATGATTGATGGAACAGAAAACCCCTAAAATCCTCCGAAGTTTGCTAAACTCACAGCGCGATACAACGAATTTGGCTATAACATTTCAAACCTGAAGTTTTGAAGTACCTCTGATAAATACACTGTATCTCAGTAACAGCTGAGAGAAGCACACTTTGAATTTTCCAGAAATGTTCTGGAAAATCCAAAGAAGTGTCCACTGAAGTGAAAAAGAACTAATCATCAGTGAATGTTCTTGTTCCGCTCTGTTTAGGGGATCTTCTTCATGAACTGTCAAATGATGGCGCGAAAGATCAGTTTCAGTATTTTGTAGAGCAGTTCATCCTCCCTGTAATGGTTTCTTCCGCAAAGGTGAATTACCCTTTACAAACTGTATAACGCACCTGAAATGCCTAGATGAAGCTATTTTTTAACAAGCCATTGTTTTGATAAATAGATAAATAATAATAATAATAACAACAACAACAGCAATAACAACAACAGTGTTCTACTTGTACCTACTTGATCCAATGATGATGCATGTACCAATCCGATCCGATGACGATGCATTCACCGATCTTTGCAAGGTACATGGGACCAACGAAAGTTAACGAAATAAAATTAAAGACTTTGAATCTCTTAATATTATGTTTTTTATTCATTCAACCAAGCAAAATGCTGGGGTGTTATGTTGACCATGAAAACTACTTAACTGTAGACGTTCTTAAGTCCGTTTGACTCGTAGAATGCCTCTGCACTCCAATGGGTGCATCTTCTTGGCTTTTAATGTGCCATCTCAGATTTTCTTGTGGAAATCCCGCAAAGCAGGGGCCTGGTGAGAACACTGTGACACTAACAATAATAATAATATTTAGGTCTGACAAGTATGAACTGTAGATACTAGAAGAGCATCTTCTAAGAACTAGAAAAATTAATGTAACAGTTTCTTTCATCGAGGGAACGTTTGAAAAACAGAATGTTTATAACAACTGAAGCGTAGCATTGTCTATAAGCTTTTATGATTGGTCATTAATTGGTGGGACTCTTGACGAGGTTGAGCCGTGTGCCACTCCCTGCACATTGTTTTGAACAACTTGATTTGTTTTTCGACAATTTTTAGTAGTAACCAAACAAAAACTGTGTTATGGCCCCTAGACCCCTCTCCCTGCATGTATCTGTCACTATTACTGTAACTCTACCCAGGGGTTTCATTGAGCACCGAGGACTGGTGAAACATTTCGGCTACTTTACTACCTGAAGAAGAAGCAACTAGTTTTAATAATGTGGTAAACAGAAAAATATCACAAGATCTAAATCAAAATGTCAGCTTACCGGTAATTATGATGTGTTTACAAGGACCACTGGTTTTACATGTATGTTATGCTTTAGTTACACAAATGCTTTTCTCACATTTGTTCTTTGGTTTATGCAGATTTTTTTTTATGTGCAAATGTACTTAATTTGGAATATGTCATTTGTTCACTGCTTGTAGGAATTGCCGGTGATACTATGAATCAATTTAATGACCAGCTCCAAGTTGCTAGTTCAATTGGTTAGAGCGCTGCACCAGTATCGCAGAAGTCAGGGTTTGAATCACACTGGGCTGGCCCAGTGTGGCATGCTGGTGTGCTACATGTACGTGTAGGCCGAGAACTTTCACGTTAATTAAACACGACGAAAATCAGCTTTGTGATTACATATGCCAACCAATTAAGCACATATCCCTGTAGCATGTTGCCGGTATCCTACTAAACCAGGTTAGACACTTTCTAAGTAAACAAGCTAGCCAAGCAGGGCCCAGTGATTCAAACCTCTGCAAGGGGTATGGGTAATACACTGCTCATGCGCAATACATCCAATCTATGTAAACATTACGGTTCCAGACTGACTGATATCATGTATTAGTAAAATCCAACTAGTGGTCTATTATCAATGCGGCATTCTGATTGGTTGAGCTACTACTAGGCTATATGTTATAGCCCACTAGTAGCGATAAGCGCGGGCTTTTTGGCGGCAAAAAAGGATAAAAGTCACCTCGGCAAAGCACGCGAGCTCAGCATAGCCAGCCCAGTTAGTGTAATCTGTCCCTTGGAGAGTTCCCATTACTTTTTTAGTATCATGTTTGATGAGCAATTATGTCAGCCAATAAATTTAACATTATTCACTCTCTTTCAGTTGTGTATTCCACTTCTTTGTACCGGTTCTTCAAGTACTTTGAAAACCGTGATGTTGCTAAAGAAGTCCTCAAAGGTAGAGGCCTCAAGAAGATACCGTACTTATTCGATTAACCGCCCTGGGCGCTTATTAAATTTTTGGACCTTGAGAGTGGGCGCTTATTCGAGGCTGGGCGCTTATTAAAATTTCACCATTTTCAGCAAGTGGAGTATGCTTATTTTGTAACAAAACAATAAATGCTAATAACAAAACGCGAAGAAGTAACAAAGCAAGGTTTCTGTAAAATACTGTGAAGAAGACTCCGTCCTCGGGGAAGTCTCTTATTAGAATTTATTCACTCAAGTGGGTGGGGTGGGGTGAGCGCTTATTTGAGTTTGATTGGGAGGAGTAGGGGGTGGGCGCTTATTCGAGGGTGGGCGCTTATTAACTTTTTCTGCCTTTAGGATGGGCGCTTATTCGAGGTGGGCGCTAATTCGAGGTTGGGAGCTTATTCGAATAAATACGGTACGACTGGGAATAGAAGGTAGCCTTTTGTTGGATATACAGTAGTCATTGCTTGCAATCAGAGTCATCTGTCATATTTTCAGCTTTAACTCTGGTTAAAGCCAAATTTTAACCTCTTAAGGCCCGATATCAACATGTGTATTCTCCTTACTGTTCTCCATTATGTTCCTTATTACACTGCTTGAGAGAATTTGAATTAGTTTAAAGATCAAGGCATTTTATCAGTGCTGATCATTCCATTGATTCTCTCGACTTGTACATTTGATTTGGCAGTAATATTGTTGGGAGAATTTTGGTGCTGGTCACTTTTGGGGCTTGAAGGGTCCGTTAAGTGCCAACAATGCCATTTCAAATCACTATTATTAAAATAATTATTAAATAATGAAAA